GCCCGCGCTCTCCCGCGCCTGCCCACTGGGGCTGAGGGCGAGTCTCCTCGAGCCCCTCGCAGTCTCCACCCGTTAGCTCCGAGGTGGTTCTGGGCGGCGGGAGGCTCAGACCCCTCCGAGAGACCCCGGCTCCCTGCAGTAGCCAGCGACCATTAGCTGGGGAGGACCCGGGGGCCAGCGGGCGTTCGGACTCGTGGCAAAATGCAGAACCTGGAGAGGATTTTTTTTTCTTCACTAATTAATTTCGAACACTACACCGCAACAAACAGATACTTCCGTTTCCTATTTTGACCACTTATGGGAGAAAGCGAAGATGGAAAGGGAGAAGCAGCCGAATGGGGTGGGGGTGGGGGTGGGCGCTCGGAAGAAAGAGACAGGGAGGGAGGGAGAAATGTCTTCTGATCCAGGCGCCCAGGGAGAAGCAGGGTCTCCGGGAAGGGCATGGGGGGCGGGGTCCTTCAAATCCTTACTGACTTACCCTCCTGGCCGCTAGAAACAGGCCTCTAGGCTCAGAAAATAGACGCTGGCTGCCTTTTCTATTGAGACTTCAAAGACTAATACATTGAAGTGAGGGTTAATTTTCCCATGGCATCTGGACATAAGCGAAGAAATGACCGGTTATAGTGTTCTGAGGAAGAATCCTGAAGGTGTATGTTGACTTAATGCCTGATGCCTAAAATGCCCTTGGTATTCAATGGCTGTCAAAGTGGCTGACTTATTATTTGTGAGACTTACTTCACTCCATTTTATTTAAAGGTTTTATTGGAAGCCAGCAGTGGTTCCTTTAGTTGAAGACGCTAAAAATAATCAAATCTGTTTTCTTTTATAGTTAGGTCCCAGTGGGTTATAAATAGGAAAAAAAAGGAACAGAAATCTCAAAATGTATTGATCTGAGTGCTGAATAATACTCTCGTTCTTCAAGGTGGGTGTTAGCCCTATATTTCTGGATAAGGAAACACAGCTATTATTGCAGTCAGCTGGTAAAGTAATAGGTTATCTGGTTACCGTGTCCATGTTCTTCCCTCTCCAGTTCGGGGAGAGGGGAATGTTTTCTAACTGGGAAAAAGATCCTATGAGGCAGGCCATTGTTACAGGTTTCACTACTCTGAATGTATCAGGGACTCTCCTCTAACAGTACACAGAACAAATCATCCAGTCTGAAGAGTGGGAGATAATCTCTAGGCACAACACAATACTATTTAGTAGGTAAAGAGATGAATCAGGAAATCCCTACAACCTACAATATTCAACATCATTTCTGACAAAGAAAACTAGTTTAATAGCTGCAAAAGACATTAAAAAGAAGAAACCCTCAATACAGGGGAGAAAACAAAAACAGGGAGAAGTTTAATGACTTCTCCAAGATCCTGCATGACTTCATGGTTCATTTTTTGAGACTTTCTGATTTAGAATTACCTTTAGGCCTCTTAAAAATTCCCAAAATTTCACAAAATTATCTTTGTTTTTCTCATTGAAACTTTATAACTCATTTTCTTATTTTTTCCTTGAATAATCAATTCAGTTTACACATACTTTTCTCTGCTCTTTTAAATAATATTCTATATTATTTATACAAAGAAAGTGAAAAGCAATAATTTAAAATTTGAGTCTACAAAAACCAATGTAATTTGTCACCTATTAAAGCCTTTACTCAGCTACTTATAGCAGATGTTTTGCTTTTATTTTTTAATTGTAAGACACATAAACACCAAATAATCATTAAAATACTATTTTCAAAATTACTTTCTCTTCCATTTTCCATATCCTGTAAGTCCAAAACCCCTTTTAATAGAGCAGTCACCTCTATTATATTATCACTAGTGATGGCTGCGTGTATTTGCTAAGAGTTGCTAGGTTTTTAATTTATAAGCTGTTATAATGCATAAAAATAGTTATTGAAAATCAAATCTCAGCTTCTGCATCATTACCTAGCTTATGTTGAGTTTAAATGTCATCTATCATTGTCTTATTCCAAATTCCTGACTGAACAATCTGGAATTCTTTTACTTTGCCTCTCAACTTGACTAACAATTCTATCTATATATGTATACTTATGTAAAAGATTTCATAATTTCCTCACAAAGCAAAACTAAAGATACAGCTTGATAATATACCTAAACATGCATCTAAATTAATTACCCTGGATTTCCTGGTCGTCTTAAAATTCTTATCAAGCTGTTCCTAGTTTCAACCTTCCCTTGCCCATCCACTACTGTGGAGCTATACTATTAAGAGAAATGGTATCTAAGTAATACCACATTATTTAGCTGTTACCCCTTTTATTTCTTTCACTTAAAAAAAATACCTTGTCTGGGCCCTCCCTGGTGGCGCATCAGGTTAAATAAAGCACAGCACTAAGAAGCTAAAGCCATTTAAGCATGAGTTTGATCCCCACCCTGGAGG